ATCGCGCGCCACCAAATCTGGCCAAACCCCCATCATTTCACAACCAGACTGCTGCCGTGAACTACACGCCAGAACCACCACCGCCATACCCACGGCATCACAGAACCACCACTGCCACACCCACAGCATCACAGAACTCACTGCACTGCCGCTCCCCCTCCCCCTCCCCCTCCCCCCCAACATCATAGAACCACCATTGCCACACCCACAACATCGCAGAACTCGCCCAACCATCGTACCACCCCCACCCCCTCTTACCATTGTAGCGCCACCGATCCGCCCAAACCCATATCATTCACGGCCAGATCGTCGTTACTGCAGATCGCCACTAGATCCGGCCAAACCCCATCATTTCACGGCCAGACTGCCATCGTGAACCACCAATCGCCTGTGCATTTCCAACACCATAGGAGAGAAACTGGACATGGAAAAGAGAAATAAAAGAGACGAATAGTGGCACACAGTGGTGTTCCGTGCTGTACACAAGGCTTGGAGGTGGTTGTTGACGGCAGCGATGGCGGAACAACTATCCATTTATGGATGAGAAGGAAGAGAGAAATAAGGGAGAGATATAATTAGGGCTTGTGAGAAATTGTGTGGGGAGTAGATTAATTAATTTCATAATATTGTTATTAATATTAAAAGTTTGAAGTAAGATATGGGGTTTGCATAAATAAACTTAAAATCTGATTTTTGAATTGTGATCTTTAAAATTCTGGTTACATGTATTTCCACTTTAAATAAATCAAAATTTAGTCAATTATTTATTTTACCTTTCTGAAACGGTCCCCTAAATTATGTTATTTGAATTGATCCGTTCTCTTTCTTAATTCCTTTATTTATAATTTTTTTTTAAAAAAAAAAAAAAGACATCCACCTTACATAGAGTATGATCAATTTTCATTCGCCATGGAGCACCCTAACTATAAAACCTTAAAACCATTCTCTTTGCCATCCCTATATAACAATATTTTCAATTATGTGTTTAAATCCGACCCAACCCAATCCAAATCGATCAAGCTTTGGTTGGGTTGAGTCGGTCGGTTTGGGCTTGGGCCCGATTTATGTTGGATCTAGTTATTTTTTTGTTAAACAAGAACAAATTTTTTAAGTTTGAAATCACTCGAGGACCTTTGTTGTTTTTAATCTATATACAAAATTCTTTTTGAAAAATAATGTATAAATAAGTTTGAAATTATAAAGTAATTTGATTTTTACAATTTTTTTGGGATTCATTCATGTCATCATTGTGTCCTTTAACTTTTAGTTTGTCGTCAAATAACTTTACGTCTATACATAGTATTCATGCCAAATCATTCTAAATCATTCTCCTCTGCACTATAGTGTCTATTTAGGTTTTCCCAATTTAGATATTAATTTTTTAAATTCATTGTGTTGGGTTGGAATTTAATACCGACATCAAATTTGATTTTTCAACTTGAACCCTACAACTTGTATGGTGCATGATAGTTCTTAGTTACAGTCTTACAGATGGGGACGGGACTTTGGGCCCCTAACCCACTTTGCTAAAATTGGCCCATTATAGTGTTGAAAGTTGGGGAAGATTGGGCATGGCATACAAGAAATGGAAATTTTCAAGCGAAAGATTTATTTATTTTTTCTTTGGATTACTGTTACTGTGAATAAATGGACTCCAATCTGGCTGTTTGCTTATTAATAGAGAATACATGAGGTTATAAGATGTTCAGTTTTATAAATCAATTATATATCAAAAAAGAATTCATGTACGTTGGATTTTTTGACTTTTATGAATAAAATTTAACATAATCGAGACTAAAAGAATGGTTCCTTAAGAATAATTCTTTGAACGGTGTTGATTCCATTATGATTATCTAGTTTCAGTTAGTTGATTCCCTTTAGGGAAGTGCTACAAGTACATTAAGGGGTGCCATAATGGTGTCCATAATGGACACATGACACATGGCACCCCACCATTGGAGAGTGTGTTGTCCCGAGAAGGATAATTCTTCTTGTACATTAGGGGTGCCATAATGGACACATGGCACCCCACCATTGGCTGTGATGTCTTTCAATGGTGCCGTTTTTATTACATTTGTTTTGGGCCATGTAATCGGGTATTTGATTTTGGGAAGTCGGATCAGTAAAAAAGATTTGGGTATATCTTAAGGGAAGAGTTCACAAATCAGGCCTTAAGTTTCACAATTGTAAAAAGGGAACAATACATTTCTAAGGTGTTTACTTTACACATTTTCAAAAATACAAAAACAAGTTTGAAAAGTCACAAATCAGGTTTTTAAAATTTTTAATTAATAATTAATGAATAATTAAATCAATTATTTATTAAATATTTANCGATTCCAGCAAGTGTTCCAACTCGAGCGAAAATTTTTAAGTCACAATTCAAAATTTTCATAGGTCACAATTTGTTTATCAGTCACAAATTAAAAATTTTAAAAGTCACAATTTGTTCATCGATCACAGATAACAAAATTTATATGTTACAATATTTATTTACGGTCACAAACATCACATTAATTATATTTAGGTCACAATTTTTAAAATTTTGGATCATAAATTAATAATTTTTAGGTCACAAAACTTTTATTGGTCACAGTTTATCTAATTCATTAGTCACATATTGTTTACTGGTCACAAACTAACCAAATTACTAATTACAAACAACCAAATCATTTGTGGCCACCACCAAAATCAGCTGTGACCATCACTTCGCCACTGCATCCGTCAACGGCACCACCACCGTCGCCGCCTAATAGCAACGTCAACATCTCAAAACTAACACCACACCTTCCCCAACACCACTATCACCAGCCCCTAAAATCACCGTCGCCACACACATCGCCAAACAGCACAGAACACACAACTGCTGCCACCAACTTCAGATCCACAATTCGCAGCGCACGATCCACCACAACACCACGACACCGCACCGTTTACGACCACCACCTCCAAAACCACCACTGCCACACGACCACATCACACCCAAACAGATCTGCACCTCCACGAGACCTAACTGCTCAAAATAAAATAAATAAATAAATAAAAAAGAATGGAACTGCACCTCCTCCACCACCGTCGCACCCACGCACAAAGCCAACCGCACGCACGCATTAACACCCAACCGAATCGACGGACCAACGGTGGAGTCCAAATAAGAAAGCACCACACCATTTACACCCACGCACACACAGCAACCACCATCGCCCGATCCACTGCCGCCGTACGCTACGCACACACGCCCAACAACATCGTTCGACAGAAACCACCATAGATCTGCAACCATCGGCAAAAATAAGCCATACAACCACCACTACCATCCATAAAATCNAGAAATTTTAAGAAAAATGCTTTCATTTTGACAAAGTAGGGCATAAGTCTGCAATGCGAAGATAGCAAAGAAGAAGAATAAGAAAGAAGAAAATATGGTTGAATACATCAGACACGATATTTCTAAAATGAGCCTTACAACTGCAATTTTGAAGTGAATTTGGTGGGTTCAAACCCAAAAGCATGCTAGATTGATACGGTTCTATGCAAGATGTTTGCTCTAATAAATAGTTGTTCACTTTATTTGAAAGAAACTAAGAATGGGAAAAGGTAAGGAAAGAGTTCACAAATCAGGCATTAAGTTTCACAATTGCAAAAATCAGCTATTAAGTTTAAAAAATGCAAAACTCGGGTATTTAGTTAATTAATTAAAAATAATTATATTTAAATATAATAAATTCACAATTATACTGGTAATGGTCACATGTACATAATTATAGATTACAACTTATTTATTGGTCACATATTATTAAATTAATTGGTTACAGATTATTTCGAGGTCCGAAATAAAATTTTTTATATGTCAGTTTATTTCATTAGTCACATATCAAAAAAATTATAAGTCACAGTTTATCTATCGATCACATATTTTCAAATTTGTTGGTCACAAGTTATTTTTTAGTCACATAATATTTTTAATTAAAATAATATGATGCCTTGTCCAGAATTCTACGAACTACAGAATATAGCTCAAAATCTCTTGTATAGAATAGTCCTCAATAAACCTCTTGTTGGCTTAATTATGCCACGATGACCTAAATTTGTTATTCAAACCAATAATTACACTACTCGAATTTAAAACATGTTCAGCTAACCCTAAAGCAAAATTAACCTTTAAGCTTAGCCAAACATGTTTGTCTAAGAAATTACTTTTAAGTATATTTATTTTCCAAACATACTAAACTTTTCTTTAAAAGTTAGACTCACTTCTTAACAAAGTAAATTTGCTTCACTCTAGCCTAATATTGTTCGTCAAGTAGTATTAGTATGTATTAATATTATGTTATTTTGAACACCAAATTATATTTTTAAGGTTACGGTTTAATGATTAGTCACAATAAATCAAATAGTTGGTCACATACACCAAACACCCTACCTCGATCCCGATCCACCACCAATACTTTGTCAAAATTAACCAAATAATTGGTCACAAAAACTATTCCACCCCCATCCCCACCACCACCACCACCATTGAAAATGACGCTATAACTATTACACACATCGTCACTTCCACCCCCACAAACTCCTGTTCTAGCACCACACACCACCTCCACCCACAACTCCAATCAACCATCGCCTGCTAAAATTGGGGATTTTTTCCAACATTACCATACCCACAAAAACAACCAAACCACCGTGCGTAAAATCACCAAACCACTGCACCATCGCCACCACCATACTAACCAAAAATATATGCGGAAGAGGGAAAAAAAAATGATGACGGTGCGAGCATCGGCTATATGAAACAACCACCATGCTATTTACTTGTTTTATCTTTTCACATATATTTTCTGTTTTGTATTTTGGCGAATGACAGAATTTTTGCAATAATGGAGTCTTCGAAAGAGACTAGCTGCCAAGCGCTAGAACGCCCCATTCTTTGCATCAACTGTGGCTTCTTAGGAATTGCGGCTACCATGAATATGTGATCCAAGTGCCACAAAGACACGATTATGAAGCAGCAACACGCCAAACTTGCAGATTCTTCCATTGATAACTTGGTTAATGGCGTCTCAAGCAGTATTGTGAAAGAGCCTGTCATGATTGATGCAACGGATGTGCACGCTGGAGACGTGGAGTCGAAGGCCGCATCTAAACACACGTCGTCCGATTTATATTCAGGTCAGAGTTCAGAAGAGGGAGATGAAGCCGCATTCACCGGTTGCCACAGAGAGAGAAGGGAGAGAACTGAAGAGGGAAAAGAGGAAAAGAAATGAAGTAAAATTAGGGTTTTGGTATGTATAATATTTAATTATTAATTCAATACCTGAATTTTGATTAAAAAATCTTCACACCTGCATTTTGAAGTTTAAACATCTGAATTTATGTAATTTTCCCATAGCTTAATTGCGACTTGGACCCGGATCTTGGAGAGAGATGGTGATAGGCTGATAGCTTTGCTTCACCAACTAAATTCAAAAGCCCACAATTTGTTCATGCAATATGTTGGACGATTATAATTTGTTAACACGTTCCATTCTAAGTCGAGAATTTAATCGTGCCAAATCAAGATAACAATTCTGTTTAAATGAACAAGAATATCTAACTGTTGTGACTTTGTGACCAACAAAACCAAGAAAATACCCTAATGATAAAAATGATTACACTCAATTGTCATTTTTCATAATATAAAACCAAGAAAATACCGTTTCTTCAATGATCTCAAGTACTTGGATGATGTGATGGGATAATCAATCGTGCATGCAATTATTACCAGGACTAACTTTGCTTTAACGTTACGTGTAAATATTTATATACCCTAATGATAAAAATGATGAACATTGAATAGCAAACTAGAGATATAACTTGTGTCCCAATCTTCCATAATAACCATTTGTTTATATCCCACTTATAAGTACTTGAAGCAGGCCAAGAATTTAGCTCAGAACAAGCAATATTTCTGGAAATCAAATTACTAATTATAATTTCCATTTCAAAATAATTCATAAAGCCTATTCCCATGGATTTCTCAGGATACCCCCCCTCAAACTTCTGGAATTCCTATATAATGAGATTGTTCCCAGGATGGCCAGATCATCAAACCCTAGCTGATTACGGCTTCTCTCTCTTTCTTGTATTTCTTCTGGCTTTCACTGCAGAGTTTTGTTCATTATATCCAATTCAGAAGCACATTGATTCAAAGGTTGCATTGTTGAATCATGCCGGAATGCGAGCCCTTAAGATGTTTATGTCTTATTTGGCCGTCGTAGCTGTCATCACCACCGATTTCGTGTTTTTCCTGGCCGCCGTCGCTGGCCACGGAGTTGGAAATTTTGTTGGGAAAATGTATCAGTATCAGATTGAAGAGGCCATGGCTGCATTACAAAGTGAAGATAGCTTCGAAGTTACAAAAGTTTGATATTGCGTTTACTTTTTTCAGTCCACATTTCTGCCTTTTCTCCCCTTTATTTCATATGCGACGCTATGCTTGCATGCAACTATATAAGATAAGTAAGTGAATTATTTCATTATTTAATAGCACGCTTGGTAAGAAGTTAACTTTATTTTTCTTATTTTAGTCGAAGTTTTAATTATCGTCTCTTTTATTTTTAGAGGGGTAAGTTTAAGTAGTAAAAAAAAAAAAATCGACATAATGTAGTTTAGGAATTAGTTTTAACTTTCAGCTACAAAAAATGAAGTTTAGTGAACAAAAATATTTAGCTCATGTTTGATAGAAATTATAATCTAGATTTTTATCAAAGTCAAAGTAGATAATTAATTTTAAATGACACCCACAACTTTTTAAACCTACATTTCACTAACTTTTATCAAAATCTACTAAAAATCTGTTTGAGTCCCATTTTTGGCTAAGAATACATTAGAATAGTAGATCGATGAAGAATATATGGTTAAAAAATAAGGAAATATTTTGAGTTTGCATGTAATATTATTTTATTGAAAAGAAGAGAGAAAATTGTATGGAGACACGCAAGAAAATTACATAAAATGTGAAATAATTTAGAAACTAGCTGACCATCCAGCTTATATGTAAATAAAATTAGTTTTAACATTATCAATGACAATGCCGACTATTTATTTTGACAAGCAAGTAGCCTGGCTACAACATTAATTTTGAAGTGCACGAGTAAATATTCATACATGATTATACACGTACAAGTAAATTAATCTGCAACCGTTGCGCCAACGAAGTTGTTTTAATCTCCTTCACTTTATCGTCCTTGACATGCAACAATACGGGAGTGATAAGATAGGTTCGGAGATAGGTTTGTCCTTCTTGTGCAAATTCAGGATGGCTGACTGCGTCACAAAATATAATTGCAATTAGTATCTTAATTAACATAATGTTATGTTTTCATCTTTATTCGATTTGGAATTTATAGTACTTAGCGATAAAGTATTCATCAAAAGTCACCTCCCCGATGGAAAATATATTTATATATTGTTAGATATTCATAACAAATATATTATTTGAAAAAAAAAAATTAGATAAAGTGTCCAATTAGTGGAAAGTGTGGAATTTATGTGAGAGGTCAACAGTTATTCACATTCCACACTTACGTCAAAAAGAATAATATTACTTTTATATAATTTACATATAAATAATGTGTCAAAAGATATGAAGTTTTTTCTTTTTTTGGTTAAAGAAAGTTCGACACGATCATATCTTACTACATTATGTGTATAAAAAAACTATAAACGGGCCATGGACTTTTGGACTTATTTGATTAAAATAATTTTTTTATTATTATTTTCATCATTTTCGGTTTTTTTTTACTATGAACCCTCCCTGTCCTGAAAAAAATATACAATGAAATCATTCCTCAAAGTCTATATTCTAAAAATTCGATTTTAAGATTATTCTCATATTTTAAATATTATTCAAGAGCACTATTGAGAGTTTTGGAAATTATTTGTGATTGTTGCACAAGTAATTTGATCGTTGTATCTCTCAAGTGATTGTCCAAAGAGGACACAACAATTTACGGCAGGCAATTTCACTTAGGACATTATATTGTCACGAGTCTCGATCGATTGATAAATTTTCTTTTCTGCATTTTCAACAAAAGTTCATGCAACTAATTTTTATCGTATATATATAGGTAGATAGTGTTGTAAATTTATTGTTTAAAATCATATAAGTGGATGAAGGATGAGTTTAAAAAAAAAAAAAAAAAGAATAAAAAACGTGCCATAAAATGGTATATACGACTGTATAAACAATTTAGGCTTGCGGTCGCATAGCAATTTTCAGGAAAACTTCGGGCAGCAAATGCTATAACTTCAGGATGGTTTTTTCGAATTTTCTGATGGTTTATCGATGAAACGTTGCACTTCTTGCTTTGAAATTGAAACCACTTCGTATGAGATGATTGAAATCTATAAATACTTATTGTGCTCATCCCAAAATATATGAATAAAAAAAAATTATTTATTGTATTATTCATCCAACTTTTCAAAGAAATTTTTGTTCCTCTACATAATCAAATTCCTGTTTTTTCACTTAGACGAAGACAAAGTACTCAAAAATTAAAAGTTAAAATTACTTAATTTAGTCTAATTGACATGCTAATTTTTCACTTTTCTTTCAAAGAAATGTCAGGATCCTCTAATTCCAGTTGAGAATTTGCTGGGGCCTTTTGGAACAGCCTTTCCAATTGAACATGAACATGTCGAGGCCAACACCAATGTCCCCTAGTTCAATTCATAGTATGAACTAATGACAGGAAATACATGACCATGCACATGAGCTTTTAAAGATTCGGGTATTAGAAAAAATTGATGTAAAGTAATGAGAACCTGCTCAGATAATGTAAAACCCTGATATATAACAAATGCTTGAATGGATTGAATAAAAATTTGGACCGAAAAGGAAAATTGGCAATAATGGAAGTGTGACAGTAGCGCTTCAATTTGGGCCCATAATACCATTTAGGAAAGAAAACGACGATACTAGTAGAACTCAAAGTTATGTTGTAACATACGATGAATTTTGGTCATCTGAGTTCATTTAGGACTCGAAAACTTGTAGCACGCTAACTGTAGCTTTGTTAACTTTCAAAAAGACACTATTAAATATTTGTATAAAATCCATTAATAAAACTTGATTAGAAACTAAAAGAATGAATGCAGAAAATAACATCTCTTAATATTGAAAATGAAGAAAGAAAAATAACAATGTAAAGCGTCACGTTATATTTTCGATGGACATCTTGATGGATTGTTTTTCTAAATTTGGAGATTTATCGAGCCTTCGGATGAATGTTAATAAATCTAGCTTGTGCACGACGGGTGTGCATGGGCAAGAGCTTGAGAATATCTATGGCCTTACTAATATGCCCAAGGATCTCAAGGGATCTATGCCTTTTAGATACTCGGGTATTCCTCTTGCGGTGGAAAAGTTTAAAATCAGCTTTTATGATACATTTCTCAACAAAATTTCGACCTACATTTGTGCTTGGTCTAGAGCACCTTTGTCCGATGTGGGGAAAGCGGAACTTGTTGGAGCCGTCCTTCAAGCTATTGAATGTTTTTGGTTTTCTATCTTCCCTATCCCAAGCTACAATCATTTCAATGATCATTAGTTTCTGTCGAAATTTTCTTTGGGGGTCTAAGAAACCTTTGGTCGCTTGGAACTACATTTGCTTATTGAAAGATGAGGGAAGACTTGATTTCAGAGATTTGAAATGTTGGAATTCAACACTTCTGTCAAAGTTGCTTTGAAATATCCTTAGGAAGAAGGAATTGTGAAGAAATGTGGCACTATGATGTAATGCCCTTGGGCCTGTTGAAATTGGCCCAGCTGGTTTATTATTAAGCCCAGCCTGTGTTTTTCGTTAAATGGACAGAAAGCGTGAATCTGAAGAACTTAAAATCGTGTTTCACTTACCTGAAGAATTGGATGGCTGCGATGTCGCCACGTGTTACCTCCAACTCCGTTGGATTGGCAACTGTTAGGTGACCCATTTAAAAGCCATGTTTCTAGGGTTTGAGATTCATTCTGATCTTCGAGACTCTTCTATTCTCTCTCACCCTCTCTGAGCCGTTTCTTCGTGTTCTCTCTGTCTTCTCACTGTTGAAATCAAATAATCCTTTTGATTTCTGTTTTACATTCGATAGCTTGTAATCTTGAGTGATTTACATGTATTGGGTACTGATTCTTGAGTGAATCGTGTTGTTAGTGAGAGAGAGTTCCGTTTATGATATTTAGGGCTTGTCTGAGTGTC